GATTTTCCATAGCAGCAATAAATTATTGCTCTCTTAGCAACCAGTGAATTTCCTTAGCAACCAGTGACATTCCTTAGCAACCAGTGACTTCCATAGGAGCAACTGCTTTCTCTTAGCAACCAGTGATTTCTATATTGACCATTGACATTCAATAACAGGACAACAACAATTGACTTTCCATTGTATTTTCATAGCAACCAATAGGGGTTTCTAAAGCAACAATTAACTTTCCAGAGCAACTGGTGACTTATTTTGTACATGTGCACTTTGTCAGATGCAGATTAGATCATTGATCTAACAGATGACCTTGAATTCAATAGAACCTTCTAGAGTCATTCTAATTTTCATTTAAGTTTTGAAAATGTATAAAAAAGTAAAATATTGTGAAAATCAAATGAACAAAGAAAAACAATTTCTCATTGCAAACAGCATGTACAAGTTACAACCCATGTAAATTACCAAATTGAGGTCAAAATATGCAAAAATAGCCCTTTCTGTGTTAGTAACCTAGTAAAAATATTGAGAAAAATACTACAAAATCAGTCATAGAAATTACTTTTATCTTGAATCATTTTACTTTTCTTAAAATCTCATTACTCTTTTCTCAAGTTATTCTTTAAAGATTTTGACTCATCTGGAGGCATGAAGCTTTGATAGTAGGGTGAGCAATTTTAGAGCAATCATGGCCCTCTTGTTTCCATCTCATATTAATTTGAAATGACAAATTATGTGCTATGTTTTTACATATCTACATGCATTAAATTTATTTTGATGAAGTCAATAATAATTTGTTATCAAAGTGTGGTTAGTATGTCTCATGAAACATTGACCCTGTGTGGGACATGTAAGGTTTTATGGCCTTTAAGATAACATGATCTTGTACAAGTTACATTATCATATAGGTCAGTTTTTGGCCGTTACTTTATCTTGTTTGTCCATTTTTGTTGACCTGTGCTGGGTGTTGTAACTTCTGACATTGACATTTTTCACTTTAATCCTTCATTTTAGTATAGCAAACATTGTGATGACCATTCATGAATTTTTTGGTTTTATCAAATCAGTTAAATTATACCAAAACAACACATATTTCTTTAATCTTTACTAGTTTCGACTGTTGTTTTATCAACAAATTCTGCTCAGGTGCATATGGAATACATGTTTTTTCTCAAATAATTTCAATAAATAATTTTATTAAGGTTTTTTGACCATAGAAAATACAGTTGGAGGGTTCGGGAATAAATTTGTTCTGATGTTTGTACACAAATATGTAAACTGTTTGGTGATTGGCTGAAATATTTGTTTCCATGAAGTTTGATTGAATGTCTGTTTCTCTTATTTTGTGTCCGTAATTGTTTGTATCTGAATACCGTGTTATTGCATTAAACTTAGTATAAGCAATTATTATATCAAAAGTTCAAGCGGAAAATTAACAGCAATGTTAATGTTATTCTTATTATCATCTTCTCATTTTATTTAATATATTTTCTTTTGGTTACATTTTGCTCATTTTTTTCTGTCAAGTTGCGAAAAATAAGTAAATCATTTCAAACGAATTGTAATTATTATGATGATTGATCAATTATTGACAATAATACAATATAAAGACTACTTAAAATATAAAAAGACTGTTCCACTCTTTTTTTTAAGAATTGAATTCTGAATGATATTTGAGCCGCGTCACGACAAAACCAACATAGTGCGTTTTCGACCAGCATGGATCCAGACCAGCCTGCGCATCGGCGCTATCAGTTTCTCTACTTGTAATAGGGTTGGTAAACGAACAGCATGGATCTTGATCAGACTGCGCGGATGCGCAGGCTGGTCTGGATCCATGCTGGTCACAAACTCACTATGTTGGTTTTTTCATGACGCGGCTCAAATGTTCATTGGTCAGCTGGGAATATTGGTTATTGCCTTCATTGTAGAATATATAATTGAACTCAATTATGGAAAAATGTCAAGTTATATTTATTTTACCTGTTCACTGACCGTTAACAATTGGATGGGCATATTGTCACTTTAATTGACTGTAGATTGACATTAATATGTACAGCATACTCATTAAAATCAATACGCTTCATTTAGTTAAGTTAGAATCCATCTTTAACCGAAAAAATTTCCCAAGTCCCGAAACAATTTACCCAAGTCCCGATTTAGACCATTCTTTATAACAAGAACCTCCCCACATCTTCTCTGCAGTCTTGTAAGTTACTGAGATAGTTTAGCTTAGTATTGAACTTTCGCTCCATGAAACATTATGGTCATATTTTAGAACTGCAAGTATATTTAGTTCATAAAATCGGTATATATTTAGCTCATAAAATCTTGTTTTTGCTTTCAGTTAGTTTAGTGACCTAGGAATGGGTTCATACATATCAATTTTGCTTCATTATTATTTATTTATCTGTGTCAATTATAGCATTCTGTAGCGGTAGATTTATTTACTTACCAATTAAAAATAATGGAAGGATGGAAATATTATAAGTGTTGCAAATGGGGGGAAATAAGGTTAAAGGACTCTATTATGGTCAGATGTTAGATCTGAGTCATTCATAAACTGGCAGTCAGAAGCTTAACTTTCGTGATTTTTGGAAGGCGATAAAATTATTTCGCCTTTTCTTTAATTCGCTTTTTGGTAAGCCCCATCGAAAAAAAAAATGTATTATTATATTTTGCTTTGCACTATTGAAAGTAAATAGGGGGTCATCTTATCTTATTGTAAAAGATGTTATTCTGTTACAATAGAATTAGTGGACAATGGCCGTAAATTAAACAAAAGAAAATAATAAAGTAAATAGCCCTTTATTCTAATTTGGTTGCATGTCTATCCATCTGTCCATCTGTTAGCCTAATTCGTGTCCACTGTGTATCTTTTGAACCAGTGGATGATAACAATAATGAGATGATGTACAGAAGCACAGATTTCACCTTCCTTGGGTCAAGGTCAAGGTCACAATTAGTGATTATGTATGAATTTCAAAAATTTGTGTCTGCTTTGTTTCTTTTGAACTGATAGATTGAAATTAAAAGTACAATGTATTTGGCAGAAATGTTACTTATAATGTTCATCAGATAGAAATTGGCTTTGTCCTCGGGGGTCACTTGATTAATATACTTTTGTATAATAAAACGCATTAGAATTTAAATGTGTGAAACTACAATGCCCAGAGCTTACATATTTGGTATGCCTTGCTAAGTAGACCTCTATATATTTTGTCCCGCATTAACCGCCTCCGTGGTCTAGGGGTTAGAGTCGATGACTTCTAATCCAGTTACCTCTCTGGCGTGTGTTCGAGTCCCGGGAGATGCTTTGGTAGTTTAGCGCGGAGGCAGGTAGTCTAGTACTGGTGTAACTCTCCAGGAACGATGGTTAGGAAACTACCCGCCTACTATATGACTGAAATACTGTTGGGAAAAGGCGTAAAATGAAACAAACAAACAAAGCTCTTGTGTTGTTGTTTAGGCCTGCTACATAATATTATGTGGAACAACAGTACTCATACAGTGGTAACAAAATTGGTTTGATGCCATTTAAGTGATTCCGGACAAATATTTCTTATACAATAATTATATGTACATATTTATGTACAAGGCAGTTAGTTTTTTTAACACGATAAAAATGACCTAAAACAAACAAGCAAGAATCTTTTCAGCTTTGTATAGCTGGAATATAACTGCATCAGTTAATTCCCTTTATAGTAACTGTGAATGAAGGGGCTAGAACATATAATAGGAAAGATTTTTGGAACAACTCTTCTCGGAAACATTGTTATTGTTGCCATCTTTGCTTTGTTTTGCATTGATCTTAAAAGCTATAATGTTTTGATATTGTAAGCATTATTGCTTATTGTTGATTCAAAAATACAGGAAAGGAATATCATTTTTCAACAACAGTGTTGAATCTTATATTTTATAATGAACCTGTTTTCAATCAGGCACAATTGGAAACATGTTTGGACATGGTATGCCAGAAGAATGAGTAATTTCACCACTATTTAGATAAGAAAATATCTACCTGGCTACAGGTACTGACACTTGGCCCACAATGTTTTGCCAACAGTGAGGTCAGTGACCTTTGAGTAACAAAGTGTGTGTATATGAAAAGACAAAAATATTTCCTAAATCCAGCAATAAATAATTTGCTAATTTTTACAAAAGGGCCTAATTACCTCCCTTGCCAAAAGTGGCAGCCATTTTTGGTGGTCATTATTTCGTAATAATTATAATTAACAAAATATGAAAAAAAGCAATATACATGTATATAGCTCATAAGTGTTGGTTGTCTCGCGCAGGTTTGAATCTTACAATTGGTTTTGAATTATATAGAATAAAGGAGATTATTTTGAAGATTGGAATGGTGTGGGTCAAAGGTACTGTCATATGATTTCCTCTCCAGAAATAATGCCAAGTCTGAACAGGGCATCTAAATCCTCCAATGCATTTCCTTTTGCCCTTCTTTTAGGCACTTTTCAGATCACGGCACTTGCCATATCTTCATACTTTTTGGCTTTTCTCTTCTTTGAGGACTGTAGTCATCTTAACCTCTTTTAGCTCAATAAGAGTCCTCAAGTTTTCTATCCCAGAAACAATTTTTATATCTTTTCTACATTTATCTTTAACTGCAAGGGAAAAGACATTCATTGTTTTTGTGTTTTTCAACTTTTATAATACTTCAAGTTTGTAGTGTTACTTTTCATTGAATAAAAACTTTATACATGGCAACAGTCCCATATACAAAGTAATTTCTTTTTTTTTTCTCTCCAATAAAGAAAGTTTGCTGTGTTATAAATTGGTTATAAAAATTATTGTGAGGTTATATGGCCAAATATAAATTATTATTTGCAATATAACCTGATCCACTGCAATACTGTTTATATAGGGCCATATAACCTGTCAAAAATGTTTTACAACCAAAGGCTAAGGGTCTGATTGATTCAATACCTATTAGTGTATATTAGATTTATTATGTTTATTTCAGATTTATTTTCTATATTTTTCAGGTGAAACAAGAAGACAGATAAAGGAAGACTTAATTCTAGTGAATATATAGCTGTTTATTATTCTCCATTGGACATAATTTTATCATTTTGTAAGTATTGGTTATATATATTTCATCTACACTGCAACCTCTACAGTTCTACCTTCCCTCCTTGGAGGAAAACATAATATCATTAAGTCCATCATATATATTGTGATGCTTGTAAAAACAGCCTTAAGCACCCCTCAAAATAAATTTGCTAAATAAATAAATGTTGTATGTACATTATCGATTATGCTAATGGTAATGATGTTAATTTATGTTGATTAAGTTATACAGTAGAATTTAATAAAGGCCCATTATGCCGCAGACATACTTTTTTCATTTCTTAAAAGCTGTTTATTTTTTGTGTCCTGTTAACTTCACAGGTGGTAGTATTAGTGTTTGGACACCCCACCCCACCTTGCCCCTGGACCCCTGCTACAACCCTGGAAAAAAAATTCAGCACTCTAAGGCTTACTTTAAGATACCAAATACAAAACCACCGATAAAATTATATATAAAAAGATCCCCAATCAAAATTATAGTTATAGGTTTTTTTTTAAACTGAAGTCTTTAACATGACACCAAAAATAAAAAATTTTGGGGGGGATTTCGATCACTTAGAAAAGCATTTTGTGGCATAATGGGCCTTTGGCTTTAAATTAACCATTCATTATGTTGTGAAAATTAAAAAAAAAAGAATTGTATTGTATTTTTAATACCACCATTAAATTCTGAGCAAATATTTGTGTATCATATTAACATTTCACTTTAATTTGAATCATAATCGTTGCCGATTGTAAATCATTGCAATTTACATACTGATGATTTAAGTCATTCTTTGTGATTCCTAATAAATTCCTGTCTGATCGTGTGGCACTCATGTTATTTGCCATTTCCTAGTAAATAACTGTGAATAACTGACATGCAGTCTGCCTTTCTGTGCATTTTTTCGTTATGTTGGGAGGAAAAGCTGTTACTAGTAATTGCAAAAACAGATATATATTGGTGGATTACACATGCTGTAATAACAAAAGCAGACCAAAATTGCGTATTTCTTACAATATTACAAACAGTACTGCAATTCTGTTAAATGCTAGAACTTCAAATGGGCGTTTGTGCAAAGAAAAAGTGTTATATATTATAGACAAGGGAGACAACCTGGACTTAAGAATGCTACTGCAAGAGACTTTATTACTCCCCTTGTTCTCATCATTCACTGTCAATGAATCTTGCATTTGTTTGTATAACTAGAGTTAGGAATGAGATATTGTAATCAAATTTGGTGTATAGCAAGCTTATATGAAGACCCCAGTTGGTATATCATTTGGACCAACTGGGGTCAAGGTCAAAAAGATTATTGTAAAAGAAGTTTTAACATCAGATCTGTAAGTGAATTTTTTACATCATATCTATAGTATAAATGTGTTTTCAGTTAAAAACAAAATCTGGATTAAGATCTCCATGGAAATCATCGAGAATTCAGCTGAGAACCAGTCTGCTTATAAATGGCTTAAAATACAATTTAAACACTATTTCTAAAGCCATGAGAATTTCTAATGGTTCTTTATCAAATCAGTTGTGTAACTTCCTGTAATTTTGTCACCTTGAAGGCTCCTTGAATTTTTTCTGTATTTTAATATCTGTTTATTTTAATGATATACTGGTAAGTAAGAATTGAAATGCAGATTTGCTATGCCACAATTTGTGACCACATAGAGTGATAATTATAAAGATTTGTTTAACTGTCTGTGACCACAAAGAATGATAATTATAAAGATTTGTTTAACTGTTTGTTACCACAAAAAAATGATGATTATAAAGATTTTGTTTAACAGTTTTTTACCACAAAAAGGTGCGGAAAGTAACTCATATTAAATAAAGAAGGAGTTACGACCCTTTCACACCAAGTTGTTGATTAATTTATTATTTTAATTTAATGACTCGTAAATTTTCCAGCTGAACTACTTCATCTAACTAACTTGAGTGCTGGTTTTATATGAGGAAATATGGTTGTGATCTGAATAAGGCTCGAACCCACAATCTCTTGGTTGAGAGGCAGGCATCTTTCTTCATTAAACCAGGGGAAAGTTGACGCTTTACATGTGGTGTTGTTGTTGTTGTCATAATATCTATACAAAAAGATGAAGTAATAAACTGCAACATTGTTTGTTAGTGTTACAAAACTTCACTGCTTGTAGTGGTAAAATGTTCTTGTTTTGGTAATATGGTATCCAATATAAAAGGTGGGGAAAGATTTTAGCATCATTCTCGACATGTATGAGGAAGTAAGCAACTTGTTTTTAAAGGCGCAGGAAACACCATGGCATTGTCTGTCTGTCTGCATCAGTGTTTACAACAGTAGCCTTTAAATATTACAATTTTACTAATACTGAATTATGTAAATATTATTTCAGGAGGTTTACCCGTGGAATGTTTTCTATATGACGACTCTTATCATGAATCCACCTGGTATGGGGAACGATCCCTTAATGGGAGACATGGGGCCCAAAAACCCACATCATCAAGGTATGTCTTTACTTTTTGTGGTAAAATGATAAATGTTAAAGCAATAAATTCAGTAACAAAGTTAAATGAATATATTATTTTATTTATCACATACCAAAAGCAAGATGCATTTTTGGTAGGAAATTATCACTTTTTGATTAAATTTTACACACTTGAAGTATGATACTAACATTTAGGGCATCTTCATGATACATGTATATAACACAAATGATGACACCTCATGTTTTGCCTTGGCAATACCTTTTTTATTGAGTTGCAAAAGCAGCATAAGTATATGATAATGATTTGTATCGCTTAAATTAATTTGTATATAGTTGTAGCCACAGTGTATGTTATATTTTTACAGGCCTTGGTATGGATCAGCTGTCATTTAACATGGATTCTATGATTTTTCAACAACCACAATCTCAGTATATGCCATATAATATGTACCCTCAACAACCTCAACAACAACATCATGGTAAGTAAATCAATTAATCAATTAATTAATCAATCAGTTAATAAACCATTCTGTAATTCTGTCAATTAAGTAAATGATTAGTCCATCTTTCACAAGAGTGTGTTGTCATAAATATTACCACTGAGTAGTACTGTCTACACAAGAGTGTGATGTGCTGAAATATTATGTGTTGTATATCCTTCACAAGAGTGTTATGTGCAAAAATTATACCAGTAGTACATCCTTCACAAGAGTGTGATGTACAGAAATATGTGTAGAATATCCTTCCCAAGAGTAAACTTTGATGTTTTGAAATATTACCAGTAGTACATCATTCACAAGAGTTTGATGTGCAGAAATATTACCAGTAGTACATCCTCCACAAGAGTATGATGTTTGGAAATATTACCAGTAGTACATCTTTCACAAGAGTGTGATGTTTGGAAATATTACCAGTTGTACATCCTCCACAAGAGTGTGATGTGCAGAAATATTACCAGTTGTACATCCTTCACAAGAGTGTGATGTTCAATAATATTACCAGTTTTACATCCTTCACAAAAGTGTGATGTTCAGAAATATTACCAGTGGTACATCCTTCACAAGAGTGTGATGTTCGGAAATATTACCAGTTGTACATCCTTCACAAGAGTGTGACGTTCGGAAATATAACCAGTTGTACATCCTTCACAAGAGCGTGATGTTTGAACATATTACAAGTAATACATCCTCCACAAGAGTGATGTTTGGATATATTATCAGTATTACATCCTCCACAATAGTGATGTTTGGAAATATTACCAGTAGTACATCCTCCACAAGAGTGTGATGTTTGGTTGTACATCCTTCACAAGAGGATGTCATGATAAGATTGAATTGTTGTCAGCAAATTTCATGTTGCTGATTGAAGACTTCCTGGCTTATATGGAGGGATGTTCTGGCGTTTTATTGTATCGTATGTTATCTGGTTCCACCCTAAATCCACATAGATCATTTCTTAAATGGACTTGTCCATTTTTCAAACTGGACAAAACTAATTAACATTAACTCGCAAAAATTTTAAAGATATTTATTGACTGAATAGCTAGAAGTCTACTTGTGAGAAAGCTATTCAGCTGGCTTACAACATGGCACATTAGTGGTTCTACCCAAGTTGGTGCCCGTTTGTGCTTCTTGAATAAATGTGAGAAAGCTATCGGCAGGTTAGTGGTTCTACTCAGGAATTGTTCAGAAGGGCACCTTAGGTCTTCCGCCACCAGTAAAGCTGGAAAGTCGCCATATGCATTCTACTGTGCTGGTGCAATGTTTAAACCAACTAAAAAGAAAATTTTTAAAAATTGAATAACTAAAAGTGCAAATCTTGATTTATACCAGCTAAGTGGTGGCATACGTGAAATCAGTAGACGTGCAGGCTTTGGGTTAATAACCACCTTCGGAACAATTTTTATGCAACCTCAATCACAGTTATTGTATGTCTTTTAAAGTACAATTATGGTTTCCTCGACCAGTATATTTATGTTAGCCTGAAGAACTATTTGAACATTGCCATAATCTTAATGGGAATCTTAACTGTTAAAGTACATAAAATAAATCAGTTATAGGGCGATTGTTTTGTTGTTGTTGTTTTTAGAGGAGAAAAAAGAAAAAACACTTGTGAATTAATTGTGACAATATTTTAAAACATGTACTGACCACATTGAGAACATTATTGTATACTCACACAGTGCACACTTGAGCCATTTGATTTATTTATAAGTTAAGATGCATGAATATTTTATGTATAAACCAAATAAAATGTTACATAACAAAATATTATGTCGCGTTTTTACCACTTAGCAATGATTTAGTGCATGTGCACCTTAAATTCTAATTAAAGTTTACAAACATATTTCTATTTATACAAGTATTTTGGAATATTAAAACAAGCAATTTTGTAAATTAAAGACATTTAATATATATAGGTTTATAGAATAAATACACCTTAATTACAAACCACATCATTAAAAAAACCAACATTTTTAATGATATGTATCTAGATTATTTATGTACATCAAAAATGTATAATAATATATGGATTACGTGTAACATTTAATGAGTGTCGATAAAAAGGCAGAGAATTTATTGGTATTTTCTACGTTAGAAGAAGTAACACAGTAACACAGGAAGGGGGGGGGGGGAATCATTCTTGCGGAGATTTCACATACATAAAGTGTATTATATTGACAAAATCACTTCAACCATCCAATATTCCTATTGTGCAGTAAACATTTCTGTGGTATATATTTTAATCATAGTACACTGTGTACTGTAGAGATAGTCTAGTATATTAAGATAAACCGTGGTGGATTAAATTCGGAATTATTTGTTGTCTGATTTACAAACAAAGGGAAGGAAGTCTTGTGAGATATCGGGAATATTTTTATAGATTAAAGGGAATGAGTGTTTTGGGTTCAAATAAAGTTCAGGGACATTACATTTGGAGAGTGCATTGCGATCTACTTAGGGTAAGGTAACTTAAGGTCATTGTATGTTTACATATTTTTGTGTTGATTTTTTTTTTTTTTTTTTGGTTCATGTATATTGATATAAATATCTTACAAGCTTTTATGTAATATTGTAAGGTGTGTCAATCCAATTTTTGTGCTAGTAATGTTTGTTTTATTACACTGTCAAGTCTATTTACAGTGTTGTTTACATGCGAAGAATATCTTGTTTTTAATACACAAACTATTGAATGAATTTGTGTATTCGTGAATGTAAGTGTGTAAAATAATTATGACAGATTTTATGTAGAATTTGACTGCAAAATATTTTCAACATATAATTAAGGTTAGATTGATTTATGTATATAATTTGCAATAACCGAGAGAAAAAAAAGTAGAAAATTTTAATGTGTTTTAATGTAATGGACTCCGTTATGACTTATGGAGCCATAAAATTTAATATATGTAATATATGTTATTGCTAATTTAATGGAGTGTGGTAAATGGGGGGGGGGGGGGGGGGGAAGTTTGCTGTTGGAATGGTTAATTGAAGTAGAAATTAGTAAGGTCAATATTGCTTCCTTCAACATGAAAACTTACATATAAATAATGATTGTAAAAGGATGTAGAAATATTTTAAGTTAATTAGACGCTATATGACAGACTGTTTAATTTACCTTGAATTTATTGAGCAAAAAATTTACAAAGTTTGTAAATTTATGCTTTTATTTGCTATGTTTATTCACACATTTCATACATGTATGTTAATATACCTGTATTACACAGATACCAGTACACACAAATTTGCCATGTAAAAAACTATGTAAATGATCATTTACAAACATATGAAAATTATTCATAACTTTGGTTACACATAAAATTATGCCATTGTTTACAGCTTACTCACTTTTGCAATTATACCTGCCCCTTATGTTTTGATTCTTTCATGTGAAGAAGTTACTTCAGCAACATTTTTGTGGAAAAATCCATAGCATCTTCTTGTTCTTTAGTTGTTAGTCAGTAATTAGTCACTGACTGAATTCATAGTTTCCTTGACAGACAGGTGGTTGAGAAATCAACAGGTGTGTAATCAACAACCTTATTCCTCTCTCCTTTCAGTATAACCAAAGACTGTGAAAAAGCCACCCAGTTACTAAATGGATTTTTTCAGATGCCTGCTTTGGCCTGAGTTAGTAAACGGGTCTTTCAGGAGCCTGCTTTGACCTGAGGTTTTGTTTTCCACCACTAGGAAGACTTGAAAATTACCCACTCCACTGGGGATGCATGCTTAATGATTGTGTGTTTTCTGTGCAATTCTGGTCATATTAGGAAATTTTTTTGGAGGTGTTTGTAGATAGATGATCTTTCATTCTCTCTAGCCAGTGAAGGACTCGGTCAAGCTGTTTTAACTTCACATGATATATATTGTTCAAAGTTATATATATATCCCTTCTTTTATTTTTATTTCAGGAGTGATGTATGACGGACAGGGAATGTATGGGGAAATGCAGAGCCCGACTACAATGTCTGAGCAAAGCATGTCACCGTCCCCACCCCCTCCACCACGCATGTATAAACCATGTGTTGTTTGTGTGGATAAATCTTCAGGCTACCACTATGGTGTGAGTTCTTGTGAAGGATGCAAGGTATTCTTTTCTTAATTCTTTAAATGTACATAACAATTTTTTACGACCCTACCTTCACCCTACCTTCGTGTCCTCCTTGACAAGGAGTAGCATATAACTATTATTATGATTCAACCTCTTGTATTAGAACATTATGTTTCTCAACACCTCTGTAACTCTCATTGTGCCCTTTGCGGCTAAGGGGTTGCCTTCACGGGTTGAGGCATTAGAATTGCAGCCACTGTTTAACCCTGCCTAAAGAGGCAACTAAATGGTTTCAAATAACTAGAGTCTATGTGTCTCTTTGTTCCAGCAGGTAAGGTGGTTTTGACCCCTAGTGTTACTTTAAGTCTGTAACACCTGAGCTTAGCCAAAATCACCTTTCCTGTTTCACCGCCATAATTATGCCCTAAATTGTGTTGGTGTGCCGTAAAACCAAACAAAACAAACAAACAAACAAAAACTGTCGTTGCATTATGTGACTTGCAGAGAAAGTTGTTAATTGTTGGCTAGGTATCTAGGAAGGTGGGTTTATTGATTTATTGTTGACATGTAACCAAAAAGTGTAAAAATCAGCATAAAAATAAGATCAACAAACAAAACATGACAATACTGCTTAGGCATCTGAACTTATATTGATCGCACACAGGATGTTTAATTTGTTACCACCTGTAAGCTTATCTAAACATGAATGGCAGTACTTTATGTAATTATGCAAAAATCCTTGCATATTTACATGCAAGAACTTAATTATTTGCTTATGAAAAATGATACCCAAGATTAAAATTGCTTTCTGACTAACAAGTTGTAATTTAAACTTTTGCTATTCTATGTACAAGTGGTAAAGTTTTGTTGACATTGAAAGAAGTGGCAAAGTTTTGCTAACTCATATTACCCTTTACGAAAGTTTTGCCCTCTCATTGACAAACTGTTTATTTGTATGGGAAGATATAACATTTCTTTTTCTGAAATCAATTTTTTTTTTTTTGGTCAAGGAAATTATGAGAAGCAATCCAAAACTAGAGCTTTACATTGTACATAATCATATCAAGTGTAAGGTTTGAATAGAGGACTCCTTTATGTGCTCAGACTGCACTATCATTGTTTACACAAAAAATTGATCTGAAGTTTACCATAAGTTCGAAGAGACCTGTTGACCAGAGGTCAGTGTCTGGCTTTATTAAACTGATAATGAGAATGATCTTCCACAATTCACCAAGAGCAAAATAGCTTGTTGTATTTTGTGACAAGTTACAATATTGTTTACAGAATTTAACTTGTACAGATTCAATCTTATCAACATAATTATAACCCAGATTTCTGACGCATAACACAATATAGGTTTTACCATTGAATCAAAAATTTCGAACATATCAATAGGATCAATGTGACCAAATTGTCTTTGAAAATTGAATATACAAGCAGAAGCTTTAAGTCCTTGTAGTGCAAGCATCTCTTGTGTTTTGGACCATACTAACTTTGGTGTGAAAAATACACCTAAATATTTGTAAAATGGAACAACTTCAATAGGTTCTAAGTCTGTAACACCTTAGCTTAGCCAAAATCACCTTTCGTGTTTCACTGCCATATGACGTAAATTGTGTTGGTGTGCCGTAAAACCAAACAAAACAAACAAACAAAAACTGTCGTTGCATTATGTGACTTGCAGAGAAAGTTGTTAATTGTTGGCTAGTTATCCAGGAAAGTGGGTTTATTGATTCATTGTTAACATGTGACCAAAAAGTGTTAAAATCCGCATAAAAATAAGATCAACAAACAAAATATGACAATACTGCTTAGGCAACTGAAATTATATTGATCCACACCATGTGTGATTTGTTATCACTTGTGAGCTTACCTAAACATGAATGGCAGTACTTTATGTAATTATGCATAATCCTTGCATATTTACATGCAAGAACTTAATTATTTTATGAACAATGATACCCAAGATTAAAATTGCTTTCTAACTAACAAGTTGTAATATAAACTTTTGCTATTCTATGTACAAGTGGTATAGTTTTGTTGTGGCAAAGTTTTTGCTAACTCATTGACAAGTTGCAAAATTACCCTTTCCCATTTTCTATTAGGAAAGTTTTGCCGTCTCATTGACAAACTGTATATTTGAAGATAATTTTGTTTTTGGTCAAGAAAATTAAGAGAAGCAATCCAAAACTATAATGCTCTACATTGTACATAATAATATCAAGTGTTAGGTTTGAATAGAGGACTCCTAACGTACTCAGACTGTAGTATTATTGTTTACACACAAAATTGATCTGAAGTTTACCATAAGTTCGAAGAGACCTGTTGACCAGAGGTCAGTGTCTGGCTTTATTAAACTGATAATGAGAATGTGTTCTCTCATTTGGTCATAGTTTACTGTTTATAAGTCCTTACTCAGTTCATTTGTTGGTCAAATGTAACCATAATGTCATTTTTAGGTAAGGTCTGAACATTTATATAACTTGTTCTGGCAGTCGGAAGGAGATCTTTTGAAATAATTTCTTATTCAGACAATTCTTTACTTTTTACAAGTGATTTTTTGGAATTAAAAGTTTTTTTATATTGCAAAATATGTGACGAAAAATATGTGCGAGGATTATATTGTTTCCGAGTGTTGCCACAAAGTTTGGACTTGATTAGAAAAAGTTCTGGAATTAAAGATGGCCGACATGGAAAATATAAAGAAAAAAATGTAAATACAGTTCTACTAAATGAACTTTGCTGATTTTGCATATTTGGATTTTTCCTTCTTTGTATTTCTGATTATTTCTATTGCTAAAGATTTGGTCCAGAATTTAGAATATTTTGGATTTTACAATATTATGTGGGGACCAGAACAAAAGTGTACAAAGTAACAACTTTGTGATGATGCACTTTATAAATTTATACAGTATTTAACGGTAAATATATCAGTTGGTTTGTAACCCTGCTTTTACCATATTAGATGGGAAAAACACACTTCCGGAAAACGGTGTTTAGCTTAGTTTTCTTACAGAGACGAGAGTTCCGAATATTTTCTGTTTTAAAGGATTTCAATATATGATTATGATTAAAAGATCACAAACAAACACATTTTATCAAAAAATGTTCCGCTTTAATAAGCTTTATCATTTAATATAAGGAAATGATGTAAATATACTAAACAGGTCTACAGTAATACACGCCACATTTGGCGCGTAAAAAATGAAAAGTTATATCATGAAATAAATCATCTATTACTGTTTTTTAGAATCAAATATGTACATTCATGTAATTATATTGATAGATGTAAAAATTTTTAATGAGCACATATAATTTATGAAAGATAATTTATGAACGATATAATTTATGAAAGATATATGATGATGGAAATAATATAATAGTACTTCATTGATCTGCTCATATTGCCACTTACAACACTGAAATAATTATTGACCACCAAATTATCACCATGACATTATTATCAGCTCGTTTACAACAATTATGTATATGTACAATCAAACGTTCAACTTTTCAGTAAAGCCCTATCTTGGGTAAATATAAACATGGGTGTCTTGTTTTACGAGTCTGGCCATAATGTCCTGAACTTTTTTATGGAAAAATAGAAAACTTTGGCCAAAAATAGATAAGCTAGCTGGATAGCTTCCTTACATGAAAGAATTCAAAGTCCCTGTCAGGATTCAAACCCACAGAGGTGAAGGGCAAGTGGTTTGAAGTCAATTACCTTAACCACTTAGCTACAGACGCCCCATTTTATATATTATAATGAAGGAACAAGGTTATATGCAGGAAAGTCACTAGGAAAAGTGACCTTGGGTTACCCTGTAACTCAAACCAATAATACCAGTGAACAAGTTTCCAATCTCAGCCTTGATGTCTTTTTCATGCTAATTGGCATTATATCATTTAAGTATATAAATATACATACATGTAAATGAGAACCAACATTGTGTGTTTGCGAACAGCAGGAATCCAGACCAGCCTGCGTATCCGCGCAGTCTGGTCAGGATCCATGCTGTTCGCTTACAAACCCTATTACAAGTACAGAAACTGATAGCAAACATCTTGAATGCTGATCAGACTGCGGGGATGCGCCGGCTGGTCTGAATCTATGCTGGTCGCAAATGCACTATGTTGGGTTTTATCATGGCACGGCTCAATTATTATATGATTTATGTGTTTCAGGGATTTTTCCGGCGGAGTGTTCAAAAGAATATGCAGTACACCTGCCACAAGGACAAATGTTGTGTAATCAACAAGGTGACGAGAAATCGATGCCAGTACTGTCGTTTACAGAAATGTTTTCAGATGGGAATGTCAAAAGAAGGTCTGTTATAGTAGTGGATATTAGATAATATTTTGTGCGGAAATAACTTTCAGTAACATTATCACTAAGAAAACTTGTTAATGAATAAACTCTCCCAAGTTTCATACAAGATTCTAAAAAGTTGATAATTTGTGTTGCAAAGTTGAAGATTTGTGTATAAAGATTTATCATTGTACTATTTCGTGAGTTTTCTGTATGAAAGAAAAATATTGCAGTTATTGGCTTAAATATATATTTTTAGAAGAGAGGGGAATATTTTAAAATACAGTGTGTATACTTTATTTCTCAAGAGCAAGGATAAAGACATACTTATGAGATCAAAGGTCAAGGTAACCAAATTTTGATTAAGCTGATATGTGACCAATTTGTCAACTAAGGTCAAGGCCACTTAATTTTGACAATAGGTAAGGTCATCAAATCCTAATCAACCTTCAAGGTCATGAAATTTTTTATAAAAGTTTAGGAAGGTCATCAAGGTCACTGAAGTTTGATGATAATAATTGGATCAAATCAAAGGTCAATATCTTGAATATCTCCAAACAGGAAATGGGCTGATAGAGGGGAAGTGCGGGGGGTGGGTTCATTCATTCCAAGTGTAAATTTTTCAATGCAATCAATGTCTTGTGTTAATTAATCAGTCATTTGATGAAATTTGATGATATATATGCACAAAATATTATTATTAATTATCAAAGTATTAGAATGGTTATATATTTTTTCATGCTTTACACTTTTGCATTTTTATATCACACTGCTTAACACAGTACTCAGAATTTCTGTTATTGCTGCTTATATTATTTATGTTGCTTCTGAGTATATATTGAAAATAAGCTTTCAATTATTATGCACTACTTTTTGTTTTATGTGTTTTCTTTCTCGCTTTTTTTTTTGCCCAAAATCTTTGCAAGTGGTGCACAAAATGATCATGCTTTTGTAAAATAGTTGATGCATGTATTGTGTCCAAGTATGTAAGAAAAAAAGAATCTTATTGTCATTATAAGTGCTTTGTTGAGTCCAGGAGAACTTCTCAGTGAAAAACAGTCACAGATTTTGGTATCTGATTGATTAATGCTGATATTTAGAATAAACAAGGTTCAGTTCTAATTTTAGAATGGTTTTATTATAGTCTTGATACCAAAGTCTTAAAATTTTGGAAATGTCATACAAAAGCATTCTTGTTCTATATTTAGACTGGTTTGTTTATAGCCTTGACACCAGTCTTAAAATTTTGGAAATGTCAAACAAAAGCATTCTTGTTCTATTGTTAGACTGGTTTGTTTATAGCCATGATACCAAAGTGTTAAAATTTTGGAAATGTCATACAAAAGCATTCTTGTTCTATTTTTAGACTGGTTTGTTTATAGCCTTGAAACCAAAGTCTTAAAATTTTGGAAATGTCATACAAAAGCATTATTCTTCTATTTTTAGACTGGTTTATTTATAGCCTCGCCACCAAAGTCTTAAAATTTAATTCCGGATATGTCATTATCATACAAAAGCATTCTTTTTTTGTGCACCGCTTCAGATTATGTTCACATTGTGCAGTTCCTAGAAAACACATTAGATAAAAATAGATTGTTTGGTATCCATGTTTTTTTGCTTTAATCATATTTTTTTTGTAATAGTGTTTGTGACATTAATTCCATTAACTACTGTTTCTAATTTCAAGTCAACTAAAATAGCACATCCTCTGAAAATAAATCTTATGAATTTTGCTTTAAATTATAAAGATTATGGTCGAGTCATTATAAGATCATGTCATATTTTTGGAAAAAAAGAAAAAAAAAAGAAAATCTGACCCCGATATTTATGTATGTCCCATGCGTATATTTAAAGATATATATTAAATGCAAGTTCACATGCTTAGTGTGTTACTGTAATTGAATCTATTTACAAAGAGAACCATACATTGTAATGCTCCTTTTCATTGTTCAAGGCCAAAAGTAACAAATTGGTAGTTTTTGTGTCCCCTTGAAAAGGCGACATAAAGGGATTACTTTTGTCAGCGGTGTCGTTGTCGGCGTCCCCTAAAGCTTGTCCGGAGCATAACTCAGTCACTATATGTCTGATTGACTTCAAACTTAGTATGCATGCTTCTTTCAATAACCCGAAGTGCAGTGCACAAGAATTAGTACTCTGCACTTCTTAATATTTGAGTTATTGCCCTTTGTTAATTTTCATACTATATTTTTGTCTGGGCCATTGCTCTTCAACTATAAAAGCTATGGACTTGAAACTTCATAGGATGATAGATCTCATTAAGAAGAAGTTCAGTGCACAAGAACCGGTACTCTGCACTTCCTAATTTTTGAGTTACTGCCCTTTGTTAATTTTCATACTTTATTTTGGTCCAGGCCATTTATCTGAAAGTATAAAAGCTATGGACATGAAACTTCATAGAATGATAGATCTCATTAAGAAAAGTGCAGTGCACAAGAACCGGAACTCTGCATTTCTTATTTTTTGAGTTATTGCCCTTTGTTAATTTTCATACTTTATTTTGGTCCAGGCCATTTATCTGAAAGTATAAAAGCTTTGGACTTCAAACTTCATAGGATGATAGATCTCATTAAGAAAAGTGCAGTGCACAAGGACCGGAACTCTGCATTTCTTATTTTTTGAGTTATTGCCCTTTGTTAATTTTCATACGTTATTTTTGTCCAGGTCATTTCTCCTAAAGTATGAAAGCTATGGACATGAAACTTCATAGGATGATAGATCTCATTAAGAAAAAGTGCATTGCACAAGAACCGGTACTCTGCATTTCTTATTTTTGAGTTATTACCCTTTATTAATTTTCATACTTTATTTTTGTCCAGGCCAGTTTTCATAAGTTATAAAAGCTATGGACTTGAAACTTCATAGGATGATATATCTTATTGATAAGAAGTGCAGTGCAAAGAGTTATTGCCCTTTGTTAATTTTCTTGTCCTGGCCATTTCTCCTTAACTATATTGTTCACAAGGCGACATATCTGACTCGCGGTGTTCTAGTTATTTTATTCTGGCCAATATTTTTGTCATTCTTAAAGTAAAATTAGGTTCAAAAATAAATTCAGGGGAAAATGAATATACCAACTAGGGCAAGGTCACAGGGAGAGGTTAAAGGGTCATTCAACTAGGTCAAGGTCATAGGGGGTGGTTAAAGGGCCATTCAGGTTTAAACTTGTACTGAAAGACCTACATTTGATACATTTTTGTTCTGAATAGATTTTTGCTTTAGTAAAGTTATTTGCTTATTCCATAACAAATTGTGGTTCAGGTTCAGGATATTTCAAGAAGATTGTGACCTTCAATCTAAAGTGACCTTGAATGAAATGAGTTCTTAAAAAGTGTGCACGAAGTTTACAAAAGAACACTAAAATCTGTTTGAACATTTATTGTGTTAGAAGTTTCCCAAAACAATCTTGATTATGGTAATTAAGCATAGAAATTTTGGTATTGGATACCACAAAAATTTATTTTGCATAATGTTGGTTACTACGGAAACATTGAAATTTCTTACCAAATATGGTCATGGAAATTGGTCAATCAGTATTGAGGTAAATAGAAACTTTGTTTTTTCAGACAGGAATTGTTCAAATTCTGAACATAAAGAGAAAAAACAAACATTTTGACCTTTTAACCTTATAGTTAACTTGTAAAATTTGCTTCCATTTCAGCCATTCTTCAAAAAGGTTAGTTATTTCCCTCTAGTACAGTTTAGTTATGCCAGATAGGGTACAGTGCTATTTAAAACACCTCCTCTGTCTTAATGTCTACCTAACTCATTAAAGAAGCTCGTTCTTTCTGTTGAGGGGCGGAAATGTTGTATGAATTATAATATTTTTATCAAATTCAGACGCGCCATGCAGAATTAATTCAAATTTATGATAATTGTTGAGTTTTTAACTATTTTTTCATCAAATGCATTAATTTTGAGCCTAAATGTTTTGTAGATTACTCTTGGACATTGTTTAGGAAAAAAAACAGATTTTTAAAAAAAAAAAAAAATTCTTTTAAATTTCCATCTGTGATGTGGTGAGGATTACAATTTTAATCAAAACTTTCAAGCAATATTAACATAAGTTATCCAAAATTTTCAATTTTCGCCCCAAACTTAGAGCGAGTGACTTTAAAAAAATAGGGAACTTGTAATTTTAACACTCTGAATGGGCCATTAATATGTGCATAAAAGTTCATTTTAGGCTGATACCAAAGGGACTATGTCAATTCACTGTCAAGTCATTGTCTTATAGGTAGACATCGATTTTCCTAACCATATTCCAAATTTAGTTCATACATTTCTATCTTATAATCATTTAATGTCAAGATTTTATGTGACTACTTGATGGGTTGTTGTACAAAAAATTAGTTATTTTTGAAATAAACTGATTTTAATATTACTAAATATGGATCTAATAACTGATAGAGGTTTTCCTGTTTGAAACAGCTTGAAATTGGTATAAAAAATAACCTATAGCAACATGTGAGAGTGGAATAAGGTTCTTAATATCAACTTGTAGTATTTCAACAACTTTCTCACCATCTTTGATGTAAGCAGGGTTGAATATGCCTTTAGGATTAAAAATACCTCCAATTTTATCCATGGAAATTGATTACAATAAATGTGGCAAAAATAACACCTTTTTTCCATAGAAATTGATAAAATTGGCAATAACAACACATTTTATCCATGAAAATTGATAAAAATGGCAATATTAACTCATTTTATCCATGGAAATTGATCCAAGTGGCAATAACATCACATTTTATCCATGAAAATTGATCCAAGTGGCAATAACATCACATTTTATCCATGAAAATTGATCCAAGTGGCAATAACATCACATTTTATCCATGGAAATTGATTCAAATGGCAATAAAAACACATTTTATCCATGGAAATTGATAAAAGTAGAAATAACAACTCATTTTATCGATTGAAGTTGTTAAAAGTGGCAATAACAGTACATATTACTCATGGAGATTGTTAAAGTGGCAATAAAAACACATTTTATCAATGGAAAATCGATAAAAATAAATTGATAAAATGGCAATAACACATACCTTTGGCCATCAGAATCACTGGCATTTCCATAATGTTGAACTTCACAATATTTGCACATGGTATATAAATAAATAATTCAATCTCTTAATTATTCCATAATTATAGGAAAGAGGGTCCAATAAACAAATTTAGGAGATTTTTTGATAAGCCAATCCTTTATGAAAAAGTTGTACTGTTTAAATATTGAAATGAACCATATTTCTGTTGAATAAGATATGAAATAATTGCTTTTGCCCATTCCCATCAGATGAATACTATACCTAATTAAATTGTGCAAATACCTAATTAAATTGTGCCAATACCTAATTAAATTGTGCCATGCATGTTGCATCGCATTTGACTGTCTGTTAGAAAATGCCATTTGTCTAATACCATGAAAAGTAACAACTGTCAGATAAATCCAGACAGTATTATGAAGAACAGTTAAGGATATTGCATGATTGACAGTAAAAGTAGTTCCTGGCGTAGGGATTTTTTTCTTGACCAGATTGGTGAAGGTTTTATTAAAAACTTGTTTACATTTATGTTGTGGCTAATTACCTTCTAACCAATATTAGAGGTAATATATTTATGATAATTTTCATCTTTAAAGGCCCATTATGCCCCTGAAATGCTTTTATTTTTACTTCTCAAAAGCTTTTCTATTCTTGTATCTTGTAAAAGTTTTTCAAAAAAATACTCTTTGGCCAATTACCTGAACCATCTTTTGTTTCTGTTGCCTTTTGGCAACAAGTTATAGTGATTTAGTATTTTGTATATAAAAGCCAAATTACTACTTTGTTTACATTTTGCTGCTTTTATGACAAACAATTTCACATCAGTGCTTCTTTCTTCAGGTGATAAGCCTCTAAGACATGCTATTAAACAAACCATTATTTAAATGTTGTCAAACTCATATTTGTACATTCTAAAGTAGAAAAATTAATTTGTTGTTTCTCTTATACCATGAGAAATTCATATAACAAACAAACATGCCCATTTTTGACTTTGGAACAGGTCATTATGATTTATAAGGGGTTTCAATGGGTTTAAACCCATAATTACCCTGCTAGCGGTAAAAGCTTCTACCCATGCAACCATGGTGCAGACAAAGGTCAGTCAGTACATCAGTGCTGTCTTGTCTTATATATAGTCTGCACTGTTCACTTTTCAGTCAGTAAATATTTTTAAACTTTCATTTAAAATGATTCTTAAACTTTCCTTTAAAATGATTGTCAAGATTGTAAGAATCTACAAGTCCTTTCGAAAATATTTTGCGTGGTTAGGGTGAAAAAGTTGAAATTAATCATTTAGTAGTGATTGTTTAAATGTGCAGTCTGTCCTGGTCTTAAGCTAGTGGCATATTTCAGTTATTACTGCATAAAGCTGTCAAAGCATTTAAACTTTAAAGTGCATCCTAAATCCTGTATAAGGCAGCCATGTTATATCTCCTAGGAATAATGTTTTTGTCAATTTGTACATTGGCAAAAACATTATTACGACAGAACTGTGATATTTTTTTCAAATTGCTTGGCATTGCAAAAAGATACTTCAATTTACAAATTGAACAAAATATTTCAGTGATAGAGGTTTTTCAGATTAGGAATACATGTAAATGTCTTTCTGCAACGATAAGGCAACAATATTGCAAGTAACTGTCTTTATTTAAATGTTTTTCCTTGTTTTCCTTTCTTAGTAAGTTGAGTGTTGCAAGAAATGAACTATTGTCAGTCTCTTCAACATGTGATGGATGTAAATTCATTTTGATTGTCATTTGCAATTAAATGAAAATTTAACTTTAATTAAAATACCAGTAAGTGCATGATCATAAAGTTTAAAATAGCTCATGTTTTTTCTTTAACTTCAAAGATTGTGCATGTATAATTAATTATGTAGATATAAGGTGACAAAAATCTGTCATTGTCTTTGAAATCCAGCTTTAAAGCTGCATTAAATAAATATGTAAAAATATTTTGCTGACCACCTAAAAACCAAGCATTCAACAGTTTCATTAATCTTTTTAACCGTATTGTTGTAAATCTCATCAAATATTGCTTATGAATTACGATTTCAAATGGAAAACCCAACGGTAACACTAAAATTTGTATACAAATTTTAATATGCAAAAGTAGTTTTAACTTGTTGAAGGAAAAACAGGCCGCCCCCATGTTCACAAAGCTTGACTGGGCCAGAATTTGATAAGTTCATCAATTTAATTGATTAATTAATCTCGCCTAATTGTAATAAGTAATTAATTTAATTAATTGATCTCTAATGGTAATGATCCCTAAAATAAACTTTATTAATTTAATTATTGACAAAAACATTTAATTTGTTCCATAATTATATTATAATCTTTTAACTAACTGAATTGTAAAATGATTTCCAATCATATGAATTTATTTATAGCGTCTAAAACTTTTTGCTTGTTCTAAATCTGTACACGGGAGAAAATCTTATTAATCATAAATCAGATATAAAGCCGCTGAGATCTTAATTTGCTGCTGAAACAATTAAAATAATTAGTTATGAAAACATTTTGTAACCTCAAAACCATTTAACATATTAACTTTAAATCACTAGCGGATGATAATGAGATGTGTGCACTTTAGTTTATACATAAATTATAATAATTTATACTTTCAATTCGGCTCATGTTTAAAACATTATCAATATAATTTATAGACTGAACTCATGATATATATATATAGGTATGTTATTTGATTTAAAAGTCTTATAAGATCAATATTTGAGGCGAGATTGATGATCGATTTTAACTTTATTTCCCCTTCTCTTCATGTATGTACATTTACATAAAGGATTTCCTTGTTTTTACATTCAACAGGTTTAATACCTACATATATATAATCTGCACTTATATACATGTATTCTGACATGCTGAATAAATTAAAAAGCAACAAGTGTTTGTAGAAAAAGATCTAATGAGATAGTAACTTTGAGATCAAATAAAACAATATTTTAAGTCAAATTTTCGTCTAATAGGAACTCCACTGAGGTCCAGAAGGGTAAAAAAGATAAAATTTGAAATTCTTACATTCAAGCAACTGAGGCACTTATATCAGAAAGATAGGCAAAAGATAATTTAAAAAAAAAATACTTAGATATAAGTTGAAAATTATGTTTCGTGCTATTTTAGCTTGATTTGAGTGAAAAGTGTTGCAACGCTTTCGATTTTGGGTCATTATTCACAATAAGAATACTAATTTTGGAAAAAAAGAGTGAGCAAAATATTTGCATGTTTGCAAACAATCAAATACAAATTACAAACAGGGTTAAATAATACATGTTAATTTTATAAGGAATGTTATTTCTCCGAAACATATATGGAAACATAATTTTATCATAAGTGACAGTATGTTACATACCGGTACATATAAATAGATCATAGATAACAGCCTATTTTATAAGCTGTATTGATTTGTAATAGTTGGAAGACATCAGATTTTGCACTTACGTTCATTAGCTGAATCTGTGTTTAGATGTTGAAATTCACAAACAAATAAAACAATCCCTTTAAGGGAATCAAGACTTTATGGAACACCACAGAGGTCGGCAAGTCTAAAACATATATTTTATATGTATGCAGGGCCCTCGATCAACCAAATCTGCGGCCTATTATCGTCCGCA